TATGGTACACTGTATAGTATGGTACACTGTATAGTATGGTACACTGTATAGTATTAACAATTCCGCTGCATTTATTGATATTGACATTGGTTGCACCTGATAGAAGCCACGTTCGTGCAATAGTGTAATAAAAAAAAATTTGTTCACGTGCCAACATGCGTTGCGTATGCAACGTTCACCTATCCAATCGTTCAGTCGTATTTCATTAGAGTGCAGTGCAGCGGGCAGTGTGGTGTGCGGTTGATGACGAGTAACATTCAAATGACGTGAAGTTGAAAAAGTTAATAACGTTGTTTATTCATTACAGATTTACTTTATTTAACACGATCTCCAAAATTTGCTTGCCGACGATACAGTCCCACGGATGTATAAAGTATTCCAATTTTCATTTATATTTTATTTTGAGCGCACGGTCTTAGCTAAATTGTTCCAAATACATGATTTACGTAAATAATTATAAATGCAACATGCGTTTATGTAATAATATTTCTGTTTCTATAATACAAAATGAATTGGCTTCGGCTATCTTGCATGCTCAGATATGAAAGTTGTTTTTAACGTCAAAGGATTCATAAGTTTATTTAATAATGTTAATCGTTTTACAGAGAATCGTATTCATTTCGGATGGAAAATTTACTTGATAACATGTTAGAGGATGGAGTTACTACCATTGTTGTACATACACTGTCTACAATGTTCTTTTTCGTACTTTTACTAAACATCTTCCAATATCTTATAGGAAAACCCCGTATTCCGATTAGGGATGTTACTAAAGAACATAATTGGAAATCTATTAAAAACGAGACAAAGGTATGTAAAATCTTTGATACTTGCGTATCTCATACACTTTATTCAATATTGTTAATGTTTCATTTACAGGCATATTATTGTAGTATATGTGAAAGTCTATTGTTAAATGTTAGCGGTCTGCTCTGTGATTCATGTGGTGTTTCTGCTGATCCTTCTTGTGTCAAAGTTGCGGACAAACAATTAAAGTGCAAAGTTATTACTCTTAACACAAATGAGTCGATGAAACATCACTGGATAAAGGGTATGTCTGTTCGAAATGCAATTGCAAGCGTACATTGTACCTCTGTTTATTAAATGTTAAGTGTTACCTGAATTACAGTTAATTTCTGTTCATTTCACATAAGGTAATTTACCTCTAAACAATATATGTGAGATATGTAACGAGGAATGCGGCGTGGAACTTGGATTGACTGATTGGTGGTGTTGCTGGTGTCAAAGATGCGTGCACGAGGATTGCAAACCTAATCTCTGCAACGTACGCTTCTCCGTATCTCCCACGAATATTTGCATTGTAAATATGTTTGCACTTTCAGATATGCGATTTCGGTAGATTTAAATTAATGATAATTCCGCCGAACAGTTTGGAAGTGATTAATTTGCGGAGTACTATGAGACGCAGATTGCACCTTCGTTCAGTTATACCTCCAAACTGGCCTAAATGGAATCCCCTGATAGTCGTTGGTACGCTCCGTTCTGATGATCCCCTAACAATTATAATTCAAGACGTTTCGTTTCAGCGAACAGGAAGTCCGGAAATAATGACGGTGCCGAGATTTTATCCTTGTTTAGGAGATTGTTAAATCCGGCGCAAGTCGTCGATCTATCGGAACGCGATCCGGTTGCCGCACTCGAATGGTGTCGTTTACTCGGTAAAATAACATGCACCGTACTAGTTGCTGGTGGAGATGGAACAATCGCTTGGCTGCTAAATGCTATCCACAAACTTGGACTGGAGGTAAAATACATTTGATTAAACAATTATCTCTTTTTACGTGAGAATATTAATTTATAGCCAGTTCCGTCTGTGGCGGTAATTCCTCTGGGAACTGGGAATGATTTGTCTAGAGTATTAGGATGGGGAAAGGAACACGATCCAGATAAAAACCCCACGGATATTCTACAAGAAATTCAAGTAGCACAAAAAGTGGAACTCGATAGGTGCGTAGAAATTTAATACGTTCAATCACTTTCAATATATATTGCATTAATCTCGTTAGGTGGTGTGTAACGATGAAGCCGCACAGTGGATTACGAAGTCTGCATCAAACGTTCTATATGTACAATTATTTAAGTATCGGCGTCGATGCACAAGTAACGTTGGATTTTCATCGTACGAGAGAGAGTCGTTTTTATTTTTATAGCAGTAGATTGTTTAATAAGGTATCCCACTTTCTAAACTGAATCTCTTATTTAAATGATTAAAACCTAATCGATCGATCCGTTTAACAGTTGTTGTATCTGTGCTTTGGTACGCAACAAGTTGTAGAAAGAGAGTGTAAAGATCTCGATAAAAATATTGAATTATACCTGGACGATCGAAAAGTAGATTTGCCATCCATCGAAAGTATCGTAATACTGAACATTCCATCTTGGGCGGCTGGCGTTAATCTGTGGAACATGGGATTAGACGGTAGGATTGAAGTATTCATTTATATTAACTTAACAAATTTAGATCGACGTATTTTGTATTGAGTAGATAATGGAGAATACGAGAGACAAAGTATTAACGATGGGAAATTAGAAGTGGTCGCGCTTTATTCGTCGTTTCACATGGCACAACTCCAGATAGGAATGTCTCAGCCTTTCCGACTTGGCCAAGCCAGGCATGTAAAGGTATCTTATACAAATAATTTACATTAAAAAATCTGTACATATTTTCTCGATGAACATTTCGTAAAAATTTAGGTGAAATTAACGAAATCTTGCGCCGTGCAAATTGACGGCGAGCCATGGTACCAGTATCCTTGCGAGTTCGATGTTACGTATTGCAATAAAGCGACGATGCTCGCCAACGTGATAAACAGGACTACTTAAATCTTCGCTTCCGAAATATAAAGTTTCTCTAACATTCCTATGGTTGATTCAGATGAGATAAAGTTTAGACAAAAGAGAAATATATATATACACATATATAAAATATAAACCGATATGGTGAAGGTAAAAAAATGTAACTGAGAAATCTAGTCGCCTTCTTAAAGATGATATATGATCTGTTGTATATTGTACTTGAAATAAATGAAGTATAGTTTATAATTTTATTTAATCTTGTATCTTGTATTTCTTGCGCACAGAAATTTAATATTTTATATATAATTTTTGTTTGTTTTATAAATAAACTATATTAATGTGGCATTCACCTGAATAATTATTTGTCCGATACACCCTGTATATCGACAGTATCCGAAGTTATTATCTATTCAACTCAAAATTAACCAAATGTAAAGATTAGAATAGTAAAAGAGATTCCTATATTTTTTCCAAGTTTCAATAAGATTCTCACTCATGACCGAACGGCAGATAAACTTTCTCCTCGTATTGATGACGATTTGGTTGATGCACGAAACAGCCAGGATTTTAAACAATGTGAAGTAGAATTGGACGCCTCCCGATTAAACGAGTAATAAATAGGAATGTAAAATAAAACACGATGTTGGGGTACAGCTTTTTATTTTCTTATAAAAATCAGAAAGATTCTTTCCTAAAATTGAAGCCGAATTGACCGCACTTGTAACGTAAAATTTTCGCTAGCTCCGGCGGACCACAGAAGAACACCGTCACTTTGCCCTTCTTCCGATCCTGAAGCTGTTTGAACACCTTATCCCAGTTCGGTCGGCCAGCGTTCGTCCTGGTTTTCAAACCCGTTATAAGATCTCTTTTCTCCTGGAAAATGACAATTTTAATTAACACTATTTTAAATGTAATCGACCTTAAAAATATGCAATAAAATCTTTAAACGTCGAACCATTTGATGGACTAGATCCATGGCAAGTTGCAAGCTGACAGCCTTCATGTCACTCTTCTGTAACGCGCTGGTGATGTACATATGCATCTCTAAGAACCGTTCCATGGTGAAACCAAGCTCTGCCTGTTCCATTTCTAATTGCGACAGCAAGTTCACGAACCACTCGAACGACCGCTGGTCTCGATTAATCCAAAAGAAGTCCACCTGCAATTTACAAATCTCAGCGGCTGCCTCTCTTAATTAAATGACGTTTAATCGCACTTTTCGAAGATGCATCACAGTCGGTGGAATCTCGCTCGCCCAGGAATATTTGCACTTCGGACAAGTGTGCCTGGCCTTCCAATAACGATGCATGATAGATTGCAATATAGAAGCGAAAGGGGTGACGCCGATCCCCGTCGCGATTAAAACCGCGTGCTGCGCTTGGAATATGTGACTCGATGGAGCTCCATACGGTCCATCCAGATAAATCTAGATCACCATCAGTCGCAATTAATAAAAGATTAAAATTAGTCGATTATGAAAATTATTATACCTCCAATGGTTTTTCCACTGTATAATTCAAAGTCAATTGCGAAGACGTATTAGATATCGAATCGATGTTCCTAGTCGAGAATTCTTCTTTCGTTTTTAGTCTGCCTTCCTCTGCTGCTTGCATCATATTTAAATTACCCGAGGACTTTGTATCGTCCCTACTTGTTTCCGGCGAAACTATTTCATCAACGATTTATTTTCGACATTTCTTATGCGAAATTCGAGTACTGTATCGTTGCATTCACTTACTATCTCTTTTCATAAGGATTCCTGTGTCAGGAACGTTACTGTCCATGCTCGGTGTCCTAAAAGCAATTATCGTGGGTTTGGTCCGCATGTACCTAAAGCTTTGCGCCAGTCCTCTGTTCTGCGGGCTAGAGTAAGCTTGATCTAAGGACTTCATACGCGCGTAACGTATCTGACGTACATCGAAATTCCTCTCCGACTCCGATCTTGAGTAATCGCGAAGCCTGTTAAACGAACGCGATTGATTGAAAAGTTTAATTTCATTAACTGCGATTAGACGCTCACGCTATCAATTTGTCTTTCCTTCTTCTCCCAGTTAACATATCGGGAACCGAACTAGACTTCTCCAGAGGCATTTTACTGGCGAGCAACGAACGATGAAGCTTCCGGTTAAGCGACAGCTTCGATAATTTAGTTTCCATCATATCTGAATGATAAAGCTCGAGTAGTTTCAATATCTTTGGAATCGAAATGTATTATCATACCGGTTGTAGAATGTGGCGATTGCATCGTCTTTCCATTATCACGGAGGAACATAGGATTATCGAAACCTGCATGATTTCCGTTTGTCGAAGAGGGCAAATGTACGTTTGCATTTTTTTCATCAAAGAATCTATATCGAGTAATTGATTCAATGTATGAAATAAGTAATTAATGCATCTTCATATTAGATCGCTCACATTTTCTCTGAACGGCAATCGTTCACGGTGCTGCAGCTGCCACAATCGATCGGGAACACGTCATTGCTTCGGAGTCTCATCTGCTCCCTTTCAAAGTACGAGTATAGGCTGTTGGTCCATTCGCCTACCGCTCGTATGTGAAGCCATATATAGTCTATCAAAAATAAACGGGAAATTATTTATTGCTTCCCGAAAATGTTTGATCGTGCGAATTGTCAAAAATAGTTCAGCTCCAGAGAGAACCGAGCGGGATAAAAGATTCATTACTAATTGTTTATACCTTCCTGTTCCGGGGCACTGCTAATGGTGAACGGGTGCCACTCGTACCGAGCTATAACAGGAATCTTCACGAACACGTAATCACCAGGATGAAAATCGAACTGCGGTGGTCTCTTGATCACCAAGTGGGTCACTTTCGACGGCAACAGGAGACCAGAACTTATGTACGTTTTCCCCAGTTCGGAACGCGAAGATGCGATTCGCCGGGTCCTCTCCAGAAGATAAATCGTGCCGGGTCCCACGAACCATTTCCAGAAATTCGGCCCGTGCAATATCAACAGTATCCAAAAGGGAATGTACAGCAAGTGCGACCAATAAAATATCTGCGAATTATTCGGACGGTTGAACGATTATAAATAAAAAGAAAATTAGAAAGAGGTGTGATTAGAACCTCGAAGCATCCGCCGCGTCGGACGAACGGCATTGAGCACATCATCATTACGGCAAGAATGAAGATAAGAATAATCCCAGTTGGGTTGGCGTAACCATCGACGAGACCGAATTTAGCTGGACGGCCCGTTAACACCCATTCGGACATGGTATAATTGTTTTCATTAAGGATTTCATCATAGATCACAATCGTACCTGAAAACGTTTCGAAAAATTCTTATTAATCCCGTCGTATGCATTTTGTTCTATGATAAGTACCAAAGTTTAAGAGGTGCGTCAGGGTGTGCACTACGCTGAAGATGCCGATCAGAACTCCGGTTATCTTGTGAAGATAGATGTGCTGATCCAGCGGTAACACGGAATTAAATCCGTGAGTCCGTAAAAAGGTGATGCACTGACGCAGGACGAGTACTAGGATAAAGGTGCAGTTGAAATTCAAACACTGACCTAAAAAGAAGGATTGTAATAATATTTTATATTGAAACAATTTTGTATGAAAATTTTAGTGTCTTACCACAAGCGCGGGCGAGCATAGTGTAGCCATTCGTTGCTCTATATTCGTAGAGTCTCGATACGAACAGAGCTACGTTGATCGATATAAAAATTATAATGGAAACAATATAGACGTAATTGTTTTTTATGTAGGGTTTAGTTAATTGATAAGGAAGCAACGAGGTGAACAGGCGTGACTTCTTTTCTGATTTCGGCTTTGGGGGAACCAGCCATCGATCGATACTGCAATTTTAATTTCTTGTAATTAAAGTCTTTTTAATGAAATTGTAATTGTATTTTTATTAATGATTAAATGATTTTTTTCACCTGATCGATAAATTTTCTAACAAACCCTCGTGTTTCTCTAACTGTCTCTTGAGAGCCTCGACGTTGATCGCACCTCGGTTAGCCCGATCGGCATCGTCGAACAGTGCCACAGTCAACTCCGCGATCTGCTCTTCGCTGAATTGTATTCCGTTCTCTTCCATACAAGCTCGCATCACGTGCTCCAATTCGCGCAATTGTATCAGTCCATCGCCTTCCCATAAATAGATAATTCGTGTAAAATAGAATAGAGTCAGACCGATTAAAATAATTGTTTTACCATCTATGTCGTAAACTTTGAAAAGGAATTTGATCTTGTCGTCAGGCGTTTTCCCCGCGAACTCGTGCATCGCGTCGAGAAATTCTTGAAGAGATATCGTCCCGGAGTTGTCCTTGTCAAAAATTTGAAACACCCTGTCGGTGAAGAACGGCTGAAATGCAATTCTCTCATGAGATCTTCGTTGATCGTTTTATAAAGTGAGCTCGCGTTCGATGCAGATGTAAAATAAACGTTTGTAGAAGAGAGCGTCGATCAGAGGATATGTCAAGCTACGAATTGAAAAATATACTTATGCCTCATGCCTACGTTCTTCGAAGTGACGATTTTATTAAATTCTTCGCGACGAATTTCTTTCTCGTTGCCCACCGTTTGTTTAAAAATCATTTCCAACCATTCCAGGCTACGTTTATCAAAACCAGCTGGCCGCCTTCGAGTAAAATAATCAATGAGTACAGAACCATGGACAGATTCTATTGAATACTATGATAGAAACCTTGTATCGCTGATGCTAGAAAGAAATTCCATGATTTGAGAAGATGTCACGTATCCCACGTTCTCTTGATCGATCCGTCGAAATAATTTATCGCTGATCTGTAACACAGACGCCTCAGCATTTCCAATCTCAACATGGAAAGTATAAGAAACAGATGTACCTCTTTGGTCGAAAATATTTGTTGGAAATTCGCAAGAGTGATCGGGTTATCGCCGCATATTTTATACGCAGTGCTCTCGATTTGGCAAATGAAATCATTCTGCTTTTCGTTCCTAAAATCGTACACAAATTACCGTAAAAAGTTTACCACGTACACTTCTCCGATCTTACTTCAATCTCGCTTTCAGGAATTCAATCCATTCGTCCTGCGTCAATATTTTATCCCGATTCCGGTCGAACAGCGAAAAGAGTTTTTCCATCAACGCCTGAAATACATTTCATTCCTTACGACGATTCTCATTGTTTTTTATTGAACATCATGTTATTGTCTCTCGCTCCTCCGTGAAACTTTGTTCTTCTAAAGATCTATTATTAACTTTACGCTTGTTTGTACCCGAGCATAACGTGATAAAAGTTCTCCGAAATGTAATTTTAAACTGCGCCCGCACTTCGCGGATCAAAGATGAGTCAATAAGATTCAAGAACAATTTCATGTATTTTAATATCAATAAGAGCCCGTTCTACGTGAAGAGTCAAATGAATCAGCTTGTACATCGCAAGAAACTGTTTACATTTACACGTTGTGATTTCAATAGGTATATCGGTGTCGGTAAGCATTGCGATCTCCATTTACGTGTTCCAACCCCGAGTGATTAGGCGAATCGTTCTAATCCGAGATTGAATAAGTAATCGATCGTGACGACGAAACACGCTCGAGGCTCGTCGGCCTCGGGCGATCGACCGCCTTGATCGAAATCTCTGTCCCGTTCCCTTCGGACAATCGCGAGCACGCGGGGTAAGCGAATTCTTCGCCGTTAAATCATTCCCTCGACTTGTCTCGTTATTACCTGCTCTCGATGGAAACGCGGCCTCGTTCGCTTCCCCCTTGAGCTTTAAATTGTTCAATTTGTAAGTCTCGCCTTGGATCATAGAATCTTATTGCGAATGTGGGCTAAATTCGAGCTATTCGAGTCAGTGGGTCAATCGAAAACGATAAAAAATTGTTTCTCTCCTCTTTGATTTGAAATTAGTAAAGAATTTTGTATTCACCAGGTCTAGCAACAGTTGTTTAAACGTCTCCCTGTTGTAACGAGCCACGCCGTTCACCCCAATTATATGCGAACATTCCTCCAAAATAATCGCTCTTCTTCTTTCGAATTCTTCGTCACTTTCCATTTTCTCCTTATTTTTAAGCGATAAAAGCACTCGGTGACAATAACCAACTCAATTCATTTACTCGCCAGCGTTCTTATTTTTGGGAAAAAATTAATCCACTGAAATTTCTCGTTTATCTCTTCATCACCGTCACACACGCACGTGTACACACAACTTTGACAGGAGGTTTCACTTTAACGTATAATAAAAATGCCTTAGTCGAAAATATTTTGTAATATTTTCATTTCGTGCGCACGATAGAAAAAAACGTCGTACGCTCGTTCACACTAATCTAATAATTAACCGATGGAAATCGATCGCGATCGAGGAATCCCGGGGCCCGGCGCGCCGGCTTCTGTTGATCTATTCCGGTGAGAATTTTTAGAACACGTTCGAGACAGAGGAGAGAGGGATGCCTTTCGATTTCAATATTATACTTAACGATCCCGCGTTCGAACTGAGAAACGGACAGGCAGACGTACAAACAGTCGACCTTTCACTTCTCCGTGAGTCATCATATATTCTTTTTCTCTTATCTTCCCGTACTTTCTTTTTGGTCGCCCTGATTTTCGATAATTAGTCAAGAGCACCCTGCCTCTTAAATATTTTTCTCGCCTTCCTTACAAATCATATTACAATAATTTTGGGATTGCGTGCTTGCAAATCCTTAATCAACAGCTATGTTCTTATAATAAAAATGAAATGAGTCTGAATGCATATTTCTTTATTTCTAATCATAAAACGTTCATAGCATTGGGTTTCAAAGAAGATTTATGATATGAGATAGTAGCAGTGTATCGCAGCCTCGGTTCGATCCATAGAACCGAACGAGCTTGCGCCCTCGTATTTTCCACCCCCGCACCTGCGCTCTTTCAGTACCGTTCCTCTTCGATTCGCGTTCACTTCTATTCCCTCGTCGGAATTTTCGCCTAAAACAGGATGCGAAAAGATCGTAACATATCAACCACATATCACACACAATGATAAAATGGTCAGTTAAACGTTAAATTTGATTAAATTTCAACGAGGTGTCAACGATTAATACGAATGTACGTAACGTCATTTAGAATAATTCGAAGCATATATTTCAGTTTAATAAACATTATGAATTGATTCAGAGAATTTTATATTCTCTTATTAATTTTCATAAAATTCTGAAGATTGCTCGACATATTTGCATGAACAATATTTAGATTTCAAACAGACTACCTAGCCGGTAGCAATGAAGATTGCATCTCAATCGTGACGTAATTATGATTCGATCGAACTGATTGTTCTCAGATGCCGAAGAGACAGGCGAATCGTGTGTGCATCGAAATCTTTTTTCTATTTTCCATATGGAACGTGATAAAGTGTTACAGCGTGCCATGCACGTTCAACACGATGTGCATGTGCTGGATACAGGACGACGAGGACTTCACGAAGATGGATGTCAGCTGCGTGGGAATACCTTTCGCCAGATTCCCGGGTAAATCAATTTTATTTTATACGCTAATCATGAGGAGAATTCTGTCTTTAATCTGGTGACAGACGTCGAGGTGAGTTACGTGGCTCAGCTGGACGTCGTTGGGTCAGGACTGCAAGCTTTAGACAACGACGTGCTCGGAAGCTCGGTAGACGTCGAGGCATTGGGATTGATGAGCAATCGACTGTTCAACATCGGCGAAAAATCCTTTTCGTAAGTCAGTATAATATTTCACAATCGCATTCCTCTGTCTTAATTTTATCATCTCCCAATTTTGTCTGATATCGAGGAAAAAGTTTCTGAGAGCGTAACTCACCCAGAAACTTTTTTTTAAAGTGTACTCATAAAAAATGCATATTGGTCGTGTCTGTTGGTAGAGGAATCGCGGACAGTTTACGTTCACTGGATCTCAGTTATAACGCCCTGGAGGACGTGCCGTTCAAGGTTTTTCGCGACTTGAGAAAACTCAATTGGCTCAACATGCACAGGTGATTATATAAAACTCGAACAACTTCATCATCGACATTCGTAATGAGCGAATTCTTCGATCAGAAAAAAAACAATTGAGAAACGGTTTCAGCAATCATTTGACGACGCTAGACGGCGACTGGGGCCACCTGAAAGACACCCTAACGAACGCGTTCTTCGGGGACAACTCGATCATCGAGATACCAAAAATATTCTCCACGTTCGAATCCCTGGTCTGGTTGAATCTTGACAATAATAATATCGAGGAATTTTCAGAAGGCAGTCTACCGCCTAATATACACACGTTAAGCCTGAACAACAACTTGCTCAAGCATTTCCCATCGTCTCTGAAGGTTTTGAAAGACCTTTTGTGGTTGTACCTCAGAGGAAACGAGTTCAAAAGCCTCGAGCTTCCCGACTTTCTAAGCTCAGACTTAGAACTGGTCGACGTCAGCGAGAATTGCATCGAAAGGATCAAAACACCGAAGCTGGCTAACCGAACGCTGAAGATCAAAGATTTTAATCTAGACAGTAATAAATTGGGCTCGTTGCCCGCAGGCGTTTTCGACCGTCTTGAAGTCAAGAGAATACACCTGTCGTCGAATTCTATAAAAAACGTCGACGACGACGCGTTCCGTGGATTAGAAGATATTTTAGAATACCTGAATCTGGAGAACAACGATCTGCCCGGAGTACCTGCGGCCGTTAGTAAATTAAAAAAACTATCATATCTGTACCTCGCTAATAACGATGTGAAAAACATATCTGGGGACGCGTTTAACGAGTTTGCGGATAATCTCCGGGCACTTTCGCTGGCTACCAATAATTTGGACGCCGTTCCAGTCGCCGCGCTGTCCAGGTATAATCACGAAACACGTTCTTTTTTCATTGCGAATGAAATTGACGTACCTTATTTTACGCGACAGGTGTCAGAGGCTGTTGCATCTTAATTTGGGCTACAACAAGATCTCGTATATACAGCCGGGCGATTTCGAATGGGCAGAGGACCTTGAGATTCTCCTGCTTAGAAACAACGTGTTGACCAAACTGAAAGAGAAAACCTTCAAAGGAGCGAGTAAGCGTTTCGCAATGGGAGTCGATTTTCATTATACTGGATATATTCATTTATTCACTGACTTAAAAACGGCGGGAATTAAAAATTAATCTAAAAAACTTTCAGGCAAGTTGAAAGAGCTCAGTCTGTCTTTCAATCATTTGACAGAGCTAGATGACAATTGCTTTACCGGTATCGAGGAGAGCCTCGAGATCCTCGAACTGAGTTTCGCCTTCGGTACGGACGTGTTTCCTCAACGAGCTCTCAGACCCCTTTCGAGCTTGCTCTGGCTGGTCCTGGACAATAACAATTTCCAGACGATAGACGCCACGGCGTTTTATTCCTTCCAACAATTGCGGTACATCAATCTGGAATCGAATCGGCTTCACTATTTGCCGGAACGAATATTTCTATCCAGCGTCCACCCGGAACTGAGAGACGTGAAACTCGGTTACAATTTCCTCGAAGCTATTCCAGACGTCAGCTTCCATAATCTGACAGAATTAAAGTCTTTAGATTTAACGGGAAATAGAATAAAGATTCTCAACTCGGACTCGATTATAGATTGTCCGAAATTAGTAACGATATCGTTGGCGTATAATAGAATCGTTAAAATGGAGAGGAACGCGTTTTACGGTTTGCCTAGTCTTCGCTTCCTGCATTTGGAGTTTAATAAATTAACAGTGCTAGATCTGGAAGTGATATCTGAAATCGGTGGCCCTGATTTCGCTCTCAACGTGTCGTACAATGCGATATCAATCATAAATTCCGGAGGATCTATGAACAATTTGACCAGACTCGACCTGAGCTTTAATAATATTAGTCATCTGCCTGCTGACACGTTCCACGGCACGCCAGACCTCAAGAGTTTAGATCTGCAAAGCAATTTCATCTCGGTCCTACAATCCGGTACGTTGCTGTTACATTAATTAATCATTATGTCGTTTTATAATTGTAATTTAATGACTCACAGGAACTTTCACCCTAAGACACTTGGAAACATTGAACTTGCGAAACAATAAGATAGAAGGTTTAAGAAAACAATCGTTCCACGGTTTGGATCTACTGCAGCAACTGGATCTCAGCGATAATCAGATCGCGCAATTATCTACCGAACAATTCCGTAATTTGAGGAATCTACGGATTCTGAATTTATCTGGGAACAAGGTGAGATCTCTGCCCAGGGACGTTTTCGAGAGAACCAAGCTGGAGATTCTGGACCTGAGCAATAACAAATTCACTGTCGTACCATCGCCGTCTTTCATGGAAGTCGGCTACACTTTGAGGGATCTAAATCTAGCAGACAATTTCGTGGACCATCTGGACTCGACCGCCTTTCCAACGTCACAACTGGTCTCTCTTAATTTGGCACATAACAGACTCACTATTCTGCCGGATAACTCGTTCGTCTCGTTAGGGAAGCTTCTGAATTTGAACGTATCGCAAAACGTTCTCCAGGCGAACTTTAAAGAACTTTTTCATTACTTGCCTGAGTTACGGCAGCTGTTCTTGGCCAGATGCGGCCTTACGAACGTCCCGGTGCTGCCACTCACAAATTTAAACCTCCTGGATTTATCTTTCAACCGCATAGAGTCTACGTTCGATAAACAGTTTCAATACTTGAAGAATCTAAAGATTCTGGCATTGGTGAACGACTCGTTGACTTCGATGCCGAACGTCAAGCTGAGTTTACTGAGAGAACTTGACGTGTCCGGGAATCCGATAGAAGTGAGTTATTCCAATTTATTTAACACACGTTCGACATTTTTATTGGATAAAAATTGCTAATGCCAAATCGATTTAGGAGCTGACGAAGGACAGTTTCCTGGGATATCCAAGACTGGAAAAATTGGATTTACGTAATTTAAACAAGACGAGATTAGTGGACAAAGATTGTCTCCGCGTTCTCAAGTACCTGAAGCACCTCCGAATTCAGACGTGGCCCGAGGCCGAAGGCTTCCATCTTCGACATTTACTAACTGGATTGCCACTACGGACGGTGGAGATACAAGTGATGGAACATTTGTTGAAACACCAGATTCAAAACGTTTTCTCCAAGCAATTGAGAGAGTTGACCATTTCTGGGAGCGATTTGGAAGTAATTTCCTCGGACGCGTTCTCCACTATCGAAGGTGGTGAACTGATATTAAGGATCAAAGATACTCGAGTTCGTAGATTGCAATCAGACATGTTTTTATCGTTGACAAAGAGACTGTCTCAATTAACGTTGGACTTGAGGAACAATCATATCAACGAGCTGAGCCCTTCTGTTATTTATGGAAATCTCTCGTGGGAGAGCGTTGGGACCAACATGGTTGCAGGTGAATATAAATTTCATAAATATAAACGATCTCGTGTAAAATATCAATTTATTTTATTACTTCAATAATAATAATTTACATATTTTTTCAGGAGGTTTGCAGGTGTCAGGCAATCCTTTGGAATGCGACTGCGAGATCGCCTGGTTGAGTTTGTGGTTGCGAAGGTGGCTTCGTGAATCCAGACAGATTCATACAGCTTCGCAGTCAGACGCGAGGCAATTGAGGACCATAGCAGGAAGAGCTGTTTGCACGGAAACGACACCGTCATACTCGTCGGACAAGGTTTTATTGACCCTAGGGACCCCTCACACTGCCTGCCAAGCCTCTGCCCTCAGTTCGGGCAATTACGAGCGATTAGCCACCACTTGGTTGGCTATCGTCGACATTATCCTTCTGACCATAGTGGCTTACTGACCATAAAGGACAGCTATTGTTACATATCACCCACCAATTTTCGAGTACCATTGCCATAGTCGTAAACGAAATAGGAATTGTGTAAGTATTTTGTACGATAGTCTTTTCCAAATTTTTATGGTACTATTGCCTTCGTACTATCATAGGCGAGACATACGAATAGACTTTACGGACTCTACTCGTTAAGGATGTATTGGCTATACAATCAATCCCAAAAGTTTATGCACTTTAGAAACGCATTTTTTAAAAAGAAATCAGACGTCGGAAGAATAATGCTAATAATAAACAACAACAAAAAAATTTTCGATTTTTCTGAGATTTTTCCAAGGGGTACCCCTTCAATTTCTTCCAAATTTTCGTTTTTTGCCAATAACTCCCAAACTGTTGGATTTACAGAAAAATTGCATCAGACCTTTCTTGTAGAGGACGACGAGATCTACAAATTATGTATAAAAACTTTTCGCTAGCGCCAATAGTTCACGAGTAATTTGCAAAAA